AGCCATCTTTCCCATGTGATGGCCCCATTTCAATATATATATATATATATATATATAATGATTTTTTACTTTTATTATATATAGTTTGAAAATGCTGTTTATGACTTGTCTTGTGTAAGTTGTATTTTTTTTAATTATTAATGAAAAGAAAGATGTGCTTAAATATATATAAAAAATCTATCTTTATATTAATAATTATAAAATATATTTTTAAAATTTTTTCTCTTAAGTTATATGTTAAAAACCTAATTAATATATTTTTTATAATTAATTCTCATTAAAAATATAAATATTTATTTTATTTTAATTAATTAAAATTATTAATGTATTAATGGTATTAAAATAAATGTTAAATTATATAATTTTTTATATAAATTAATCATAAATATATATATTTATCGTACTCTTATTTTATATTCTTAGAATACAAATTAAACAAATCCTTCCTAAAAGTAAATGAATTCCTCAATGCAAGTAAAAGAATATGAATACTAAGAAGCAAAAATATATATTTTCGAAAAAAAAAAAGGTTAAAACTTAAAATCAAGGTGGTCCCCACTTTACAGAATTTCTTCCGTGAAAATAATTTAATTAGAATAAACCAAATTGTCTGCCATTGGTCCTTGAGGAATCAAAACAAAGGGCGCTGCTGCCCTTCTTTCTTTTCATGTGATAGACATCAAGGAAATTAAAATGTTTTTTCCAATATATATATATAGTGACTCAGATTCCTTGATTTCAAGAAAAAACTAATCAAACATGTATATCATATTAAGGAAAAAGTAAGAGATATGGTGCTATCTATCTCTGAATTTCTAGTTGGATATCCATGTACTTGATCTTTTACAAGAGCGCCAAATAAGAGTGACTCAGCTAAATTACCACTTGTTGGAGAAGGGGGGTGTTAGTACTGCTGGCGCTGACTCAGATTTAGCAACACGTTCAGCATCTCAAGCATCCAAACCTAACGTGCTCTAAATGTCACACTCTGCTTCTATTTCATGCCCCTTAATTTGGCTTCCTGTTTTTGTACACGGTTAAGAAGTAAAGAATGTGAGAGGCAAATTTTAGGTCCAAAATTTTACGTGACATAATTAAATAATTAGAGAAGAATACAACATGACCAAAATAACGTTGTAAAATGTCTAGAATGATCATAGATATTACATCAGTAATAAAATTCTGTTATTTATTTAGAAGTAAAATTGCCAAGTGTAATGGTTCATTACCAAGTTTGGTATTTAGTAAATTTAGGCAATAATTTTTAATTTTCCCTAACCCCTTTGTAATTGCTTTTGAAATGAGAAATTAAGAACAAAATTTTCAATTATTTTTCATGGTATAACATAATATTTATTTTTATGTAAATAACACCTCAAGTCAACTGTTTAAATACTTTAAAATTGAGATTCTTCAAGTATATGACAAGTTTTGTCCTAATATTTTCTTAATTATATGCATCTATTTAATTATT